GATATCAATCATGACTCATCACGCAAAAATGAATCAACAAAATCATGCCCAAAACGAACACACGCAAATAAGACCCTGGCAAGTATGTGCACAGCACCAGTTGCTGCAACAGCCGCAGTTACTGGCGCTGCTGCAGGCAAGTCTGTTGCTGCTTGGCATCTCTATGGTTATATGGAAAACCACTTCTGAAACTTTTGTTCTCACAACCTGCAACCTTTCCCGGTTCATGGAAACAGCAACATCTCTGTGGGCCCCCAACTTTTTGGTTTCACTACAACACATTGAAGCGCTGGGCTGCCAGGGCGTCCTCCAGTCGAAATCAAACGGTTTAAGGCCACAACCCCTGCAAATTCGGCTGTCTCGGTGCGGCAAAGTTCAGCTGGGCACTCAGGCCTCAGGTTTCAGCCAGCAATAGTACTTCAAGGCCTCCGGTTCTCCTCTGTAGATGCGGCCCATCGGTCGAACAAAAACGAGTGTCCAAAAGGTGGTCCGCTGGGGCTTGTGCCTCGTGTACACGATTTGTGCCCCTTGGTGGGCGAAGAGGCTATAGGCAGCCCTGATCCTTAGTGCCGGATTGCCGCCAGTGCCCAGATGTCTGGTGCTCCATGTTGACCGCATGTTCAACTCATGTTCAACTCGTGGGACGTATGGGCTCATGACTCATGCAAGCCCAGGATTTCTGTGCTCTTACATGCGCGACTGATGCGGACTCATCTTGAACTCATGTACACCTCATGTGGATTCATGCTGAAGTCACGTACAACTCATGCCGAACTCATGCGTAGCTCACTGGGCTGATCATTTGGGGTTATGTGGGGCTCATGCTTGGGCAGCTCATGCTGGGCTCATCTGGGGCTGACGCTGCATACTGGGCTCCTGCTGGACTCATGCTGATGCTGAGAAGGCTGATATGCCCGCCCGCGGATGCTCATCTGCATGCAGCCCTGCTGATGCTCATCCGCCCGCCCGCTGAGCGTCCATCCGCCCGCTGATGCTCGCAGATGCTCATCCACCCGCCTGCCATCCACCCGCCGGCTGATGCTCATCCGCCTACCCGCTGATGCTCCGGGGTGAATTGTAGCCTCTGGAGGCTGTCTGGCTCATTTACCCCGCTTACCCGATTTACCTCATTTGCCTTGCTGTGGGCAAGAAGCTGCAGCCGCGGGTGGAGGCACTGGAGAACTGCCGCAAGCTGCGCACTTCAACCCCGTGGCTTCCCCGGTTGCCCTAAATCCCGAACCCTTCGACCCGAACCCCTAGAACCCTAGCCCTACTAGGCTTCCTCGCATCGTCCCAGCGTGTACAGTGTGTCTGGTCGGCATGTTTTTTGATGCTACACGTGCTACATGTCATGTTGCATATGTAGCATGGGAAATCGGGGCCTTCGGGAGGGTCGGCGGTGAAGCCGAAAAACGTCAGGTAGCATATGTAGCATGGGAAATCGCGGCCTTTGGGAGGCTCGGCGGTGAAGCCGAAAAGTCAGGTAGCATATGTGTAGCGTGGGAAATCTGGGCCTTTGGTGGGGTCGGGCGGTAAATCCGAAGAGCCAGGTGGCATATGTAGCATGGGAAATCGGGGCCTTTGGGAGGGTCGGCGGTGAAGCCGAAAAACGTCAGGTAGCATATGTAGCATGGGAAATCGCGGCCTTTGGGAGGCTCGGCGGTGAAGCCGAAAAGTCAGGTAGCATATGTGTAGCGTGGGAAATCTGGGCCTTTGGTGGGGTCGGCGGTAAATCCGAAGAGTCAGGTGGCATATGTAGCATGGGAAATCGGGGCCTTTGGGAGGGTCGCGGTAAATCCGAAAAGTCAGTTCGCATATGTAGCATGGAAAATCGGGGCTTTCGGGGCAGTCGGCGGTAAATCCGAAAAGTCAGGTAGCATATGTAGCATGTGGGAGGGCCGGGGTGAAGCCCAGATCTCTTGGGGGATGGAGCTGAGGAGAGGTTGGGGTGGCTGTATGTTTATCTTTAATTATCCTATTCTATAATATAATATAACATAGTATAGTATAGTATAATATAACATAACATAACATGACATCACACAATATAGTATAGTATAATATAGTAATGTAGTATAATATAGTATAGTATTATACTATAATATACTGTACTATGCTATACTGTACTCTAAACGATTTATAGGAAGCAGAGCCCCTTGGCCGTAGCATCCCAATCATCCCTCCACAAACACCCCATCAATCTACGCGCTACTTATGCTACCTGACCTCCTTCGTTTGCTCCCCCGACAAACCCCCCCCATTCTACACGCTACATATGGTACGCGACAAGGACCCTCAATTCTACATGCTACATGTGCTACATGACTTTTTCGTTCGCCCGCCGCCCCGCCGGACCCCCGATTTTACATGCTACATATGCTACGCGACTTTTTCGTTTGCCATCCAGCCCCCGCCGGACCCCCGATTTTACATGCTACATATGCTACGTGACTTGTTGTAGTTTGCCATCCAGCCCCCGCCGGACCCCGATTTTACATGCTACATATGCTACGCGACTTGTTGTAGTTTGCCATCCAGCCCCCGCCGGACCCCGATTTTACATGCTACATGTGCTACGCGACTTTTTGTCGTTTGCCATCCAGCCCCGCCGGACCCCCGATTTTACATGCCTCACGATCCCTCGGCACAGCCCCCCACTCTACATGCTACATATGCTACCTGGCCTTTCTCGATTCCTCCACGCCCGGGCGGGAGCCGCCCCATTCTACATGCCACCTATGCTACCTGCCCTTTTTCGATTGCCCGGCAGGAGCCCCCATTTGACATGCTACCTATGCTACCTGCCCGTTTCGATTTCTTCCACGGGACCCCCAGTCCACGCGCTACCCGCGCTACCGGGGGTTTGGGGTTCTCGGACTCCCTGGTCCATGCGACTTATGCCTGCTTGTCATGTAGCATGTGTAGCATCCAAATCAACGTGCCTTCTTCTGTCCTGCTCGCAGGAGCCGAATCACCGGAACCCCCGGCATGCCTGGCATAGAGTTTTAGGGGTTCGGGCCAAAAGGCTCGGGATTTGGGGTAACCGAGGGACCCCTTGCGCACTCCGTGGCTCCGGCACCCGCTCAAGCACACCTGTGCGAGAGCTGCTTCATGTTTCAACAAAGTGCGACCCACGGCCTCGTCTCCTGCGCCGGGGTCGGACCGCCCGCCCCGCAAAACCGAGTGAGCCATATGCGCCTGCACGAGACATATAAGTGCAGCACGCAGAAACGACATGTGTGAAAGACACGCAGAAAGTCCCACATCCCTTGTGCACTTGCAACTTCCAGGACCTCGACCCACCCTCGCCGCAACCCTAAAGCTAGGAATTTATGACCGTCTCGGGTAGATGTGACCCCGCTTGCTAGGAGGGGCTCCGGCTACTCAGGCGCCGGCTGCTTCGTCAAGCGCAGCCAGCCCCGGGCGTTGTCTTTGTAACGCAGATAGTAGCCGCGAGCGCAATGCACGTGCTTCAGGCACCCGGTTGGCGGTTGTCACGTTGTCGATGGCGTTCCTGGCGAAGCCCTAGAATGCCTTACTGATCTGATCTCCGTCTCCTTCGCTGGCCTGCTTGAAATCGTCCAGCAAGTAGACGAAGTCCCCGGCAGTGAAGCTCGCGAAGGCCTCCTTGACGAGCTCAGCTTGCGGCTGCATGGGAGCACCGAAAGGCTCCTCATACACTGCTGAAGCGACCAGGGTTGTTGGTCGAGAACTGAAAGACACCGGAGCCTTGTACTAAGCCCCGGCAAGAGCTCCAGGTCGTTGGTCGCGCCACAACTTCAGCGTCTTGCTCTTGATCTGGAGTGTGTTACCTCCGATTCTGGGATGCTCAGCACCCTCCTCGCTCTCACCCGCAAGGCCTCCGGGTTGGCAGAAGCAACGTTGAAGTTGGTAGTGACAGGCTGAAGTCCGGTTCGGCATGATAGGAACCCAGCACCTCATCGATCACCGCTGTGAATACCCTCTTGCCATGCCCTCCGCCCAGCAAGTGACCCCTGTCCAAGAACTGCTTCCAATCAGACCGCTGGCCTCGAACTCGCGGAACTCCTTTTCGGGGAAGGGCATGCCTGAGCATCGCGTCATGATCAGATCGGGCTCGCAACGCTTGATCTCGTGGCTGTCCTCGTCCACGACCCAACCGTCGGCAAAGAGGAAATACGTCCTGGTCTCCTTCGCATCCATGTTCAGGAGCTGCTTCATGAGTGCGGTGACCGCGGCGGTCATTCCCTGGGATCGAGCAATCCAGTTGGGCAGGCGGTCCTCGTTGTTCTCTGTTCAGGTCGTTTTTCCAGACCCCTCGACGAGCTCGGTAAGCAGCTTGAGCAACACCGGCTCCGTCTCCCCTTCGGTGTGAAGCACCCAGCTGGGACCAGGTCGCCACGGTACTCGCTCCCATGCACTGTCACCGGCTTACGCGCAAGCAGCTCCGACAACAGCAGCTCGGGGCACTCCTTGCTGAACATCATGAACTGCCCGAGATTCACACGTTTTTGCTCTATCCGGAGATCTGTACTCCTTGATCGCCGTCTTGACCCCGACATCCTCAGCCGTTTTCACGAGCCCGGCCTTCCACTCCGCCGTCGCGGCCGACGGCGGCCGCAGCTCCATCTGGATGCCTCACAACGACACCGTCGTGCTCGATCGAGACTACGATGCCTAAGTCGTCCTCTTGCACGCTCGAACCGCTAGCGCAGCGCCTCCATTAACGTGGCCTCCGGGAAAGGCTTGCCTGTTCCGGAGCTTCTTGATCAGGGCGGGATGCTCCGCCGCCACTTTATTGCGGAGCGTCTTCTGCTCCTCCACAAAACCCAAACATCTTCACCTAGCCGCGACGCGTGCAAGAACTGGCGCCGCGCAACTGCGGCCTGGTGGACCTGGACTGCGTTATAGCTGCGCGGCCACGATGCAGCTGCAGAAGTGGGGCGGCGAGGTGGATGGCCAGAAGCAGCTCCCTGCTTGAAGCGCTGGGTGGAGGGTTCGCCGAGATGAGCGGCAAGGACGGATGCCCTCGTCGTCCTCCGCTTCATCCTCGTCGGCCTTGGCACCCTCCTTCTTCGGCTGCTTGGCGCTTTTGTCATTCCGCTTCTTCTTGGCATTCTTGTCCGCGTCTTCCGGCTTGTAGAGGGCCTTGATGCCGGAGCGACGCCTCCGAATCCACTCGATCACCCTTAGGTCGGACTCCCAGTGCGGCGGTGTCATGCCTTGGCTCACCTGACGCGGCTTCTCGCTTCTGCAAGAACTTGAAGAGGATCGTAGTTGATGAGCTTAACCAGGATGAAGCTGGCAAACTTCGCCACGGGGCCAGGGACCCTTGCCTGCAACGTTTCGATCTTTCTTCAATGCATCGGCATCTCTGGCTCCGGCTCCCCACGGTCAAGCTTCAAGGCCTTCTCCTGGTTCATGTTCAGCATCTGGTCGAAGCGACTGCTCGATCACGCCAGACGCGGCCGTACTGCAGCAGGCCCAGGTCGCGGCCCTTCTTCGCCTGCGTGCTCAGGTTCATGAGCTGCAGCTCCACCTTGTCCTTCTCAGCCCGCGTGCGGCCCACCGCCTCGGTTTCCACCGGCGGATCCTCCCCCATCTGCTCCTCTTCTTTGGCTTCATCGTAGAGCTCCTCCAGCTCACGCTCAAGCACATCCGATCCTGACGCAGCCACTTGGCCCAGAAAGGCGTCCAACAGCTGAACTGGCATCGTCCTGATCGACTGCCCCCATCAAATCTGCAGCGAAAGTTTCCGGGCAATCGCAGCCCTGCAGAGACCGTATCTGGACCATCTCGTAGGGATTATCAGCTGTCCGAAGGTGGTCGTGCGCAAACATCTTCACAGCGGGGCTCAGGCAGAAACACCGTTCAGCATCCATGTAGGGGGCCTGTCAAAGGATGCATTGTAGAGCTAGGGTGATGCGATGATCGGCAAGCCTCCAGCTGGAGCTCTGCCCCGGCTCCGTGATCTCCGGCATTGGCTCATCTGCCTGGTCGAGGGGCTGCGCGCCCAACTAACGCAAGTACCGAAACTAGCCCTGGACTGGCTCAAGCGGCGCAGGTAGCGGCGTTAAAATTTAGTGCCGGGCCTGGATCGATTGGTTGAGGGACTGCGCACCCGCTAACGCAAGCACCGAAACTAACCCAACCTGCTCCACGGTCTCCTGCTCTGATCCTGAGGAGCTGGAGCCTGCCGACGACATGAGGGTTTCATACACATGCTACATGCCGAGCGCCTCCCCGTCTGCGCGCCCCGTCATAGCGGGATCGGAACTCACTTGCCATGACCTGCCGAACACCAGGGGTTTGCTTGATCACAGCCGAAGTGTCCGGGACACACCACAAGAATGCTACACGCTACACGTGCAACCTACCGAAGGCCTCTTACTGCATGGTCTCCTGGATCGGCTCAGCCTGCAAGAGCAATGACCCCAAGCGGCGCGAGTAGCGGCACCGAAACCGGCCTGCCTGGAACAGCTCTGCGGTCTCTGGCCTGGACTCATTTGCCTGGTCAAGGGACTACACGTCTAACCAACAGAAGCACCGAAACTAACCCAACCTGCTCCATGGTCTCCTGGATGGGCGCAGCCTGCAAGAACCATGTGACCCCAAGCGACACAAGTAGCGGCGCCGGAACATGAGGGTTTCATATGCTACACATGCTACATGCCGAATGCCTCGCGGTTGACCCGGATCACTTCAATCGGAACACCGAGGCTTTGCGGCAAGCCCATCGCAAAAGCCTCTGCCACATGGACATCCCAAGCCTTCGCGAACAGCCGAAACCACGTGGCTGCGTTTCCAGGCCTCTGCCCCTGCCATCTGGACACCCGAAGCCCTCGCGACCTGCCGAAAACCATGTTTCTGCGTGCTGCGCATGCTACCTATTCAAGGCCTCTTGCTGGACCGCGGCCGCGTCCAAGGTCTCTGGGGCTTACCGAACATCTCGGCATTTTTGCGTGCTACATGTGCTACCTTGCCTCCGATCTCGGCCGCCGGGACCTGTCGGGGACGATTTTACATGCTACACGTGGTACGTGTCAAGGGGTTCTCTCACTTGTTCGCCGTCGGTGTGCTGCCTGTGGCCTGCCGGGACCCTAATGTAACACGTGTCGCATCTAAAACTAAGTCACCCGGTACGACCGACTCTGCTCAGGGGGCTGAGTCCTGCGACGGGACGCGCTGGCATGCTGCACATGCTACTGAGGCCTCGATCCCAGCCTGTGTCGGCTCGGCCTCCATTGGAGCTGAAGCCTGTCAGATACGGCCCAGAAAGCCAAGTAGCAAAAGTAGCATCAAAAGTCGTGCGAGGCCTCGGTCGACTCGGCATTCTCAGGAGCCTGCCCAACAATTGCAACACATGCGGAACATGCGGCCTGCGAAGACTGGCCTTCGTCACCGCCGCGACACTTCTCGTGGCCTGCCGGGAAACCGAGTAGCGCAAGTAGCGCCGAAAACCGGGCTCTCCGTTGTGACCTGGGGCTCATCGGAGCTCGCAGTGACAGTGGCCTCCCAAACTCGAACGACACACTTTCTGCGTGAAAACCTTCTAGACGTGCCTGATTCTCATCTGATCGACAAAGACAGGCTTGCAGCGCGTGTCCAATGACCTTTGCCAGCCTTCTTGATGAAACTATCTAGCCCGCCGATCTGGATGCCCTTCCTCATGACATTTCTCATCGCCTGAAGCCGTAAGGACCCACCGACCGAAACCGTGGAAGCCGCTGAACAGAGGACCAGGTGTAAAGAAGTCGAAAGGGCACCTGAGCGGACGAAGGTGAAAGGGGCGTCAAGGGAAGGGGCGACCCCCAGCAGCAACCTTGAAACTCCAGATCCACACAACGAATTGAAGGGAAGGACAAGTACCTGGCAGAGGGCGAGAGGGGAGAGGGGTTGACAGGGTGAAGGGTCTAGGCTAGAAGCGTGCCTTCCGGTTCAAATGGGAAGCCCTTGCCCCCCAGAAAACAAGCAAACTGCTGAGGCACATTACGGAGCAAAGTGCTTGAGTTGTGGCTAGCTAGAATACTGTTACGAAATGAAAACAAAACGGCGTCACGGAGCAAAGGGCGAGCACCACCGAGCAATCCTGGGTGATCCTAAACCCCCGCGGATCAGATCGGCGATAGCCGCAGGCTCGCCGCGATTTGACACTGAGCGCACGAAGACACGAAAATTTGAGCCAAACCTAAGGGACGTACCCACCAAACGTGCGCTCGCCACAGTTCGGCGCAACGCTTCTCAGCCAAGCTTTTTTTTGCCCCGCGCGGGCTGGCTGTGCCGATTTTGGCCGGTGGGCCCGGCAGGGTGTGCGAAACATAGGCAGGGCGCACCACGAAAATCGGAGGTACGCGCGCTCCGTGATGCCCGGCGATTCTGTGTGGCTGTGCTCGACACGGAAGGTGCGACTCGGCCGAAATCGTGCTCAAAACCCAGGCGAGGGACACCCCGAAATCGGGCTCTCACCTGTGCGTGGTCGGCTCGCAAAACGGCCGGCTGCCAAGGGCCGTCGGGCGCACCCTCCTCGGGCGGCTTCAAAATCCAAAAAAGATTGGGGCGCGGCATGGTGTTTTAGGGGCATGAGGGGTTGGGGTGCGAAATGCCGGCAATGTCGAAGCGATTTTATTAAATGAACTCCGGGCTCAGCTTCGCGTGCAAGGCGGCAATGGAACGACCATCCGAGCACAATCTGGTGCAATTGCTGAACAGGTGGTCCGGCGACTGGAGCCAGTCGGAGCGAAAACGAGCCATCGGCGCCGGGTCATCCGAGAAGTACATCACGCTCGCATGCTGCCCACTCTGACCAAGCTGTCGTCCACCGCAGAAGCCTGTATCGCCATCAACCGGTTTTTGAAACAACGCCTCCCGGGGCAGTCGTGGACTTCCATCGCAATCGTGCGCAACCCAAGCAGAGGCTTGCGTCGAGACATCCAAAACATGATCGGGCAGCCGAATCACGCGATCGCTCTGGGCGATTTGCTGGGAGGTCGTGTCTGGATCGAAGATGATGCAGGCGCAGCAGCTCTCCACAAAGAAGGGTCTTCGCGAGCTAACTGGAGCCTGGATCGACGTGCATGACAGGCCAGTGACCTTCAAGGCGCGGCGCTACCGCATGGTAGGGCCACACCAGGGCAACGTGTGGTGTCTTACTGCTTGCACACCACAGTCGTTCAAGCGAGCAACATCGGATGTCGTAGATGCACTGAAACAGCTTGACTTCCCAGTTCCACAATGATGCTCATTCTACATGCTACATGTGCTACATAGCACAGCCAGGCCAGCCCCCCGAAGGGCCCGATTCTGCACGCTACACATGCTACATAGCACAGCCAGGCCAGCTCCCTTGAGGGCCCCGATTCGGCGTGCTACACGTGCTACACCGCCATGTAGCATATGTAGAATCGCCCTCCCGCGGCCTCGAGCGAAATCTCGCGTAGCAGGTGTAGCATGGAAAGTCGGCCCCAGTCCCGACTCACGTAGCAGATGTAGCGCGGACCTCTCTCTATGGTAGTGGTATGGCAGATGCACTTCTGTTCACTTACAGGGCTCAAAGACGATACCTCCCTGGAATTCCGACTTTTGGGCCTGCTCGATTCTTCGCTCTACAGGCTCAGAGCTCAAAGATCTTCGGGGCTGTGAAAGTGCGAAGCCTTCCGTCAAAGTTTTCGCATGCGGCTTCGAGACGGAGCGAGAGGGCTCAGAGAGCTCGAATTTCGCATGCTACATGTGCTACATGCATGTAGCATCGAAAACTCCATGCTACATGTGCTACGTGACATTTCCGGAACAGATCGCATGCTACATATGCTACGCGAGATTCGCGAGGTTTTTTTGGCTCGCGAATCTCGCGTAGCATATGTAGCATGCGATCTGTTCCGGAAATGTCACGTAGCACATGTAGCATGGAGTTTTCGATGCTACATGCATGTAGCACATGTAGCATGCGAAATTCGAGCTCTCTGAGCCCCCTCGCTCCGTCTCGAAGCCGCATGCTGGCGAAAACGGCTTTTGCAAGCACTTTGAAGCCCCGAAGATCTTTGAGCTCTGAGCCTGTAGAGCGAAGAATCGAGCAGGCCCAAAAGTCGGAATTCCAGGGGGGTATCGTCTTTGAGCCCTGTAAGTGAACAGAAGTGCATCTGCCATACCACTACCATAGAGAGAGAAAAGACTGCCAATGACCGTCCCTGCTACAAAAGAAGAAGAAGCCACACGAAACCGCTTTATGGGAGTTTTTGCGAAGAAATAGAAGAAAAAATAACAAGAGTTGGAATGGAACGAGCCACTGCACGGAGGATTGCGCCGGGTGCAAGCTCTTAAGCTACCGAAAAAGAACGAAACTGCAACAAGCCCCAGCAAAACCCCTTACCAAGCACAACACTCGGACAGAGACCTTCGTTTTGCTGCACTCCACACGCAGTTCCGGTCTTGAGCCAAGTCGGCACAAAGTCTTCTAGGAAACTGAGGTGCAAACTACCTAAAGGTGGCTCGGAGCTCTTTAAACAACTTCCCATGGGCCAAACGCACCCTGGTACTACCAAAACTCCTTAGAACGTCCGAAAACAGGGAAAACCTACAGGACCTACGGCTTTAAAGAGAAAAGAGTCCCTCACACTCCAAGTGCCAGGAAACTAGCCGAGAACTGTTCAGGTTTCTACAGATGAGCCGGACGCCCACCATATCCTCCCAAATCAGAGGATATACGTTTTTTCTCGT